TTGAATCGGGTGCAACCGCAACAAACAAAAAACAAAAACACGAACAAAGAACATCTTAAAGTGAATATGTGACTGAGTGCAAACAGAAAATCCAAGAAAAGACAGCAAAATATTGCAGAAAAAATCACCGTACACCAACGCTGTGTGAAAAAATCCCAGTGGGATGCAAGTCAAACAACCACAAGACAACTTAGATTAAGGCCATCAGTCTAACTCTGTACTACAACAAACATACATGGCTAAACCAATACACTTTTCGAAGTCACCAAAATAAAGCCATGAAAGCAATGAAACCGTGATCATACTGAACTGTGACGGAATATTCACAATAAATGGCATAAACAACATGTACTACCAAAACCCTGCAGCCATAGCTGGCTGCATGAGTCACTCCACAACAGCAGGAGCATCAATCGGAATATTATCATTTTTCAATGCACCTTTAAGATCAGCACACTAAATCAAAACACAGGTCATACTTTGTAGCGATCATCCGGAGCGAGTAGGCCACTGAATAGCACTGGCAGCTAGGGGTGTACAACTCCTCTAGAGCAGTTTTGAGTGAAGATCTTATAGGTAGTGACTCAAGTTTCAATTTATTGGCAACAGCATTCCAGACCCTGGGGGCATTAATAGCAAAGGCCATTCCTCCAGTATATGTACGGCAATAGGGCATATGAAGCTGGTAAATGAGTGTAGAACTTAGGTCAAATTTGTTCTTTGAAACAGAGAGGAAATCCAGCAGGTAATCTGCGGATTTTTTTGTAAGTACATCATGAATAAATAAGATCTGGTGCACAAGCCGTCGAACATTCAGAGATGTTAAGTTTGACCCAATGTAGAGATCACAGTGATGAGTCCTATATGGGCAGTTCAATGCAAATCTTAAGGCCGAGTGATACATTGAGTCAAGCTTCTTCAGTACAGTACTTGAGGCTGATTTATACGATCTCCACGTCGGCATTATCTCATGACGACGGGGTCCTAAGCTACGTTACGTTAAATAAAAGAAACCTCTAAAGTTAGAGTCCAGAGTAAATCCACTAGGATTGTGACTAGTTCATGTCGTTGTTGAGGGTTGACTGCTAGTTATTCTTTCAGGATCAATAAAATTGTTACTATTTTGTCAGGAGTAGAAATTGGTTGTCTGCTATCGCTAGAGGCACTGGTAATTTCATTAGAATGTCACATTTCAAAAACTAGCTGAGGGCAACAAAGATGAGCACTATCCCACGCTTGGTGACACTTTGATTTATACCCTAACGTGACGTAAAGTCCAACGTCTGATGATTAATTGAACTTAAAAAAGACAAAGATCCCCCGTATAGCCCCAACAGACTGTTGGGGCAAGTGCTGTTAGCGAGCACCTATACAGGCTGGCACGCAGACGAGGGGGTGGGTGGCTAACACCACGCCTGGCCGCATTTGTCTCTCAAGTTGCAATGTTTACACATCGCATCAGGTACTAATTTGAGGTTGAGTCGACCTAGGGGAAGCTCAGGACTGGTTCATATATTCATCACTGATGCTGGTCATGAGTGGGAATCGAACCCGGGTCGCCAGGTATGTAGCGCAGCTCGCTAACCGTCACACTACCGCTCCCCACTACTTAAAAAAACCACACACACACTAAAATACCATAAGTGCATATCAAGCACTGACTAGAGTCAGCATGGTGCTTGATGGGGTGATTTTGCCAGTACCACTGGCTGCCTTTGTCTCCCTGTTCTTTAATTATACAAACACTCTTAGGTAATATATTCTAGGCTGAGTAAACCTAGGGGCCGGGTTTAGATATTGCTTACTAATGCTGTGCATGGCTGGAAATCGAGCCCATATATCTTTGATGCAACGTAGTGCACAAACCGCTGCACTACCGTTCCATATAGCACACACACACATATCCCCCGTATAACCTTTAATAGACTGTTGGGGCAAGTGCTATTAGCCAGCACACACACACTTTGACACATACGTTAAGGCACACACAAGGCCAGGTACACACATACACAAAGACAAAGATCCCCCGTATAGCCTTAACAGACTGTAGGGGCAAGTGCTGCTAGCGAGCACCTATGAAGGCCGGCACGGTACTCGAGGGGGTGGGTGGCCAACACCACGCCCGGCCACATTTTTGTCACCCCAGTGGCGATATTTACACTCTGCAGCAGATACTAATTTGAGGCTGAGTCGACCTAGGGGAGGCCCAGGACCGGTTCAGATAATCGTCATTGATGTTGGCCGTGAGTGGGAATCGAACCCGGATCACCAGGTTTGTAGCGCAGCGCGCTAACTGCTACACTACCATTCACATACACGACACACAGAAACACGCATAAGACACATTTACACACTCGGAGACACAAAGACAAACACAGGTGCACATGCTTGTACGCAAACTACACTTCAGGATGTAAGTGTTACCTTGATCTTGCCCATACACCATTCTGACTTGTCCTTGGCGGTGTGTAGCTGGGCATTAGTTTTTTGCTCATGAGCCAAAGTGGGGGTGAAATGCAGAGATGAGGGAGGAGAGGCAAAACCGCCACGTCCAGTCTGGTAACATAAACCAGGGTCCTCTTTGGGAGGCTGTCGGTGTTAGCCGCTGAGGTCATGAAGGTCTTTATAAGTTCATGTTGTTCCGTCTCCCATGTACCGTTCCCGTTGCGTTTTAATGTGCACTCATGCCGGGCGATATTGGCACACCAAAAAAAATATTTATTGCATGCTGATTTGCCAGGGGACATTCCTGATTTTCTAAACGAGAATAGGTACATGGCTGTGGAGGTACAGGTCGTAAAAATATTTTAATATTCTTAACATTTAAGTCAAATAACTTAGTGTTATAAATAGCTATATTTAATATGTTTGTATGCGTGTCATTACATGCACGCAATGTATGATACAAATCACACCCTGTATACACTTGCAAATAAAACGTTCCATCTCAAGGGATTATCCACGTTAAATATTTTCATTAATTAATCAAAGCAATACACATTAAAACGTGGTAATGTATATGCATTATACTTGGGATGCGCTGGTGGTAATGCTTAATACTCAGAACCTAAGGCATTTTCGGCATGTTTAGGATTCAGTGGAGATGCTCGATTCCGAGTACATCTAAAGCATATTTAGAATTCTTAGGATCCATTGGTGAATATTGCACATACTCCTTTAATCGAACTGTCATTTAACCAAACTGTCAAGAATGCAAGCTATCAACATGTAAAGGCATAATGGGAGACATGTCCCAAGGTGGCCTTTCTGTTGAATTGTCTTACCATCATCACGCACACTGAATGGGTGGTAATTCCGAGTGGTCAGCTTGCTCCCACTGAGACAATTTGTACTGAGTTTATTGATTTGATTTCGCTATAGCTGCCAAATAGTTATGTTCATGAACATTTTTAAACGGCACGCCATATTTAAACAAAAAATTCCGTGAAAGAATACTGTGAGAGAAATACCTAGATAGCTTTAGTGGCTTATCATGGCCATGTCATACACACTTAACTGGCAATAGCAAAGTTATGGTTTTAGATTTGAAGTTCAGGCACTCGTGGTTAATCCCAGTTTTGTGTGTGGACAGTTCATGATCTTATATCCACCTTTGAATCCTTGAAACAAAATACTGGCACTTTGGCAGAAATTACTGTTTAGAGACCGCAGTAGGAATCAAACACCGGATTCGATGCAAACCGGCTTAGTGGTGAGCAGATGATGATCACAACAGCGGCGATAGTTGTGATTAAAAACAAGTCACGAAGCGCAATGAGAAACCAAAGACGACTCCTTCGCCTAGACCAAATGTTTGCCTTAGGCTAAGGTCACATAAATTGACTAAATGACCATTACACTTGACATGCCCGGGATCATTACATCTGGACACAAATGTGATTTATTGTTGACAAAATCAATGTTCTCACTTTTCAAACACATTCATTTGATTCTTTTGGTTCCTACTAATTGTTTCATGCCACAGAAGGGCATGACTGCCAGAGGAGGTGGCGAGGGGGACTCAGGTGATACAGCATGGCTATGTTGGAGAACTGAGCTGGCATGCTAAGGAGACCTGGGTTCGAATCTGGGTTTGATTCATACACAATGAAACCAGATTCTCAAGTGTTTAAATCGATGGTCTTAATCCATCTACCAATGCCTGAAATACATATTTGCTCCTGATTTGAAGCTTTCGTGACTGCAGGAATTCATACTCTTTGGTTCTTTCGGTGAAGTCACGTAGATAGGAAAAATATTGGCTTGTTTGACGAATGCATTGATCAATTGCTGATGACTTTTTTTTTGCGATGCACAAATAACTTTTTGCTCGTTGCGTGAGTTCTGGATGAAAATGCCTTCATCTCATGATTTCATGTCGATAATGCTATTCAAATATAAATGGGATTTTTTTCTTGCTCATTGGGGTGTAACTCATCTTCATTGCCAACGTAAAACCGATTATGAGAATGCCACATTCCCACGTTAAATGCCAGTCTCTTCACATGTTGACCACTGTTGACTTCCCACAATGCAGTACTGAACCCAGAGGAATGAACTTACGATCAGGATTTTAACCCGTGCCCTTGTGATCGTGAGTCAAGCACTGTTCCAACAGGACCACCCTGCCAGATAAATTATATTTAAAATAAATTAATGACTGTAGACTTATCTCCCTGTAAAAATAAGTTTTAACTTATTTATGGTATATGTGCAGCCCTGCAATTTTTTTCTCACACCATTGCTGGTGGAAGGGCCTCCACTTTACGCCACCACAATTGCCCTGCCGATCGCTGTGGGGCACCCATTTGTACTTCTGGGTGGGCAGCTGGGGGATTTTAAAAAAACTTGACCATTTGTGTCAAATGCCATGCTGGGAGACGTAAACTGGTGACATCTGGATTACAAGTTCAGTGTGCTAACCGTTACAGCACATCATAATTATATCCTTGTAGGAGAAGCTAAAGGTTAAGGAGAATGCGTTTGTGTGTGGTGCGCAGTGGGGCTGCCTTGTCTCGGGAGAACTGCCGAATGAGGCATCCAGGTGCCTGTATTCACAATGATGGTAAGAATCACATTATTTCCTGTACCATTCATTTGCTCCACCACTACATTACAAGCAAGGTGAGAGATAATTTAAACAAACCAAAGTCATTGAGAGATGTTTATCATCACTGGCAAACCTAAGCCAGTGGTGGAAATTCCATATTTTTTACAGTTCGGAGTTAGTCTTTAGATAGGGTTAGCCAACTAAGTGGTGCTGATTTTAAACGCAGATAGATGATGGAGTTGAGTGAAGATTTGAGCCACTAAAAATTCAACCAGGATTTTTCCTGGGTAGTGATATTTTTTGGTCTCAGCCTTATCACCAGTAATTGCACAAAAAGGTTACATCGCATGAGAAATTTGGCTTGGTTAATACTGGTAGGAACCTCCTGGTTACACCAGCCCACAGGGGATTATTGTGTCCGTCCATCTGTCCGTTCGTGCATCCAAAAATGGGAGGGGAGGGGTGGGGTTGGGTGGAGAGGGGAGGGTGGGGTGGGGCTGGGTGGGGGGTGGGAGGGGTGGGGCTGGGTGGGAAGGGGCTGGTCACCCCGTGGTGCCCTTATAAAACTCAATGTTTAACCTACTCACGCCGGCTTGTGCCCGCCCTCACAGTCGGGCATATTTGCGGAATACACCACGCCGCCGTTGACCCTGGCCATTGACCCAGCAACCCAACGCTCCTACCAGCTCCCTCCGCAGGAATGTGTTGCATCTCAGCCCAGCTTCGACGAATAAATCGACAACAAGATAAGAAGTCATTACAGCCAATGCTGTAGATGCCAGCATACATTGTCCCAACTTCCTACTGCCTGATTTCATAACTGCACTCACTTTCTAACATTGAAGTCTCATCTCAAAACCACCATCTGGGATATATGGGGTGCCAGAAATATATCTTACCAAGGAACTAACCTGGACTCTCCTTGTCTCGTTCGCAAAGCTCTTAACCATTTTATAATTCCATACGCACGGGTGATGCAGGCTACCTCCGCCAGACGTGTGGAATTAAGTTACCTAATTGTGTGGAATTAAAGTCACCTAATTGTGACTCGCATCACCGAACGTTGTCCATCGCACGCTTTTGCAGGAGGTACAAATGGAATCCACCTGGCGACCCTAGACATGACTGAAGGGAGGGCTTCACTATTCTCGCAAATCACCCGATGATACTGGATGTAATTACCAGCAAAACGTCGTACTAAAACATTTTAAATGTTGTGGATTCGCTCTTCAACACAGCGGTGGGCTAAACAAGTGAACTATTTGTCTTTTGTCAACGTGACACATTTTTTACTGATTGGCCGTGTCGGGTGGTGGAGGGTTGCGACACATTTATAAATAACGCGATCTAACCCAAAAACCTTTATCATGAATAATATTGGTCACGAAAGCCTACGTGTTAAATGACTGGATTTATTTTCAAACTCAAAGTACAATTAAAAAGACCCATCCGTTGCTTTTCTAATTCCATACGAAAGAAGAAGACCACGTGGCTACGTGTTTCCCCATGTTTTTACGTCTCGTTTACATTTTAGTTCCGTAATTGGCACCATGTCACGAGACAACACAATTTTATTTTGGAACTCGGAGAACATCCCAATGCACGACCTTATATGGGTGGGCTGCAGAGGTTTTGTGGCAACATCTACAACCAGACTGCTTAGAGACCTGGGAATTAAGGGCCAGAGCCAGCGTTCGGCAATCAGAGCTGTATCGGAGGTGGCAGAAGGCAGCAGTCAGTGGCTCTGGATGAAGAGGAAAGACCCCAGCTGGGCCCCAAAGTGAGAGGGCCAGGAGGTATGCAGTCAACAATGCTTGACTCAGGGAGGAGGACGCCCCTGCCATGCATAGTCCCATGGGATGTTGGCTATCAACAACAAGGCAACTCCTATGACTAATTGGGAATGGGACGCAAGCGTAGGATTGATCACCCTGTCGCTGGCCGCCTTTGGGGAGGGTGTATAGTATGAAAGGCCGAAACACCCTAGGAACCAAAGGTTCACTACTGATGATGCGCTCCCCAAATTTCACCAGGCTCACTGTTCATGAACTCTTGGAAGTGCTTGCACAAAGGATAGTAACATCTCATCCTGTGTTCTTTGGAATCAGAGAAACCGAATAGAATGTCACAAACGACATCTGAAGTCGTTGAACAGGCATTTATATCTCTGGAATGGGCAAGCATTTGTGTTGCCCTGCAAACAGTGTTCGTCACGAGTCAATCAAACCAACATGTTTGAGTTTCACACTTGGAAGTAAGCACATTTGCGGCAAACTAAATGTAATATTGTGGTTTATATATGATGTAGTAAACCTGCTATACTAGAATACTTACTGTAACCTGCTAAAATGGACTATTTGATTTGTTCATGTATGATTGCCTAGAGTTGAACCCAGGCTCCCAGTAGTACCGGTTCAGTGCCCTTGACACAATATTAGTCCCCTGTGCCACCCAGTCATCTCTTTGTCTTAATTACGAATGCAAGCCTTTGGATGCCTCTGTGTGTGTGCATACGTGTGTGAGTGAGTGGGCACATGCATGTTTACGTATGTGTATATATGTGGGGAGCGGTGGCATAGTGGTTATCAAGCTGCGCTATGAACACAGCGACCTCGGGCCACGGCTATTTTAAGTGGCAAGTGATATCTGAAAAAGTCTGGATGGCAAAGAACTTCACGAGACATTGTCAATGGATTTAATGCACAAATTTAGATCAGCAGGACATATTTTTGACACCAAAAATCTACATTGGGCCCTGTTCATTCATAAAATCCGTACTGGAAAACATGTGCTTTACTTAGCTAATTCAGTAACCCCATTGTCAAATGTACGATGTGAACGAAGTTCATGCATACATGCAAACCAAATCAACATAAAACGTACATCTAATTGCTTTTTAACTATCCCTAGAACAAGAATTGGAGTAGATGACAAAGCCTTTGCCGTTGCAGCACCAACTTTTTAGCTCAACCGCATTTGCAAATGTGATTTGTAACATTGATTCTTACCCGTGTCTCAATAGTTACATTTTAATGTGCTCTTTTATTGAAGGACTGTGTTGTCTTCTGGGGCTGTTATTGTTGTTCTGTTGCCTTGCCCAAGCTTGAATGTAGAGTGGACACATTGGCTAGATGTACTTATGCAGTTTGTACTTATATGGTCTCTATTATTTAATTAGTTTAGTTACTTGCTTACCTTATCTCTACTTTTCACTCCAATCGTTTTTGTTGTCTCGTTTGTTATTCTAACTTTGCTGACCTGCCCCTACTGGACATCTGTGAAAAATATTTCATTGCTCGTTAGATTCCTCCAGTCTAAATAAAGATTTTGATTCTGAAGTTCTAGGGCTCCCCTAGGTCGACTTACACTTTAATGAGTGCCTGGTGCATTGTGGAAACATCAGTACTGTCGATACAATCACTTACAGGCTTATTTCTGGCCAAGTCACCCCCCGACCTTCATAGGTGCTCGCTAACAACACTTACACCCAGTAGTCTTTGTTGACCATACGGGGGTATCTTTGTCTTTTAATCTGCATGGGTGTGCGTGCACACGTGCGCGCGTGCATGTGTGGGTGTGTGTGTAGGTCGGCCTTCATAGGTGCTCACTAACAGCACTTGCCCCTACAGTCTGTTAAGGCTATATGGGGGATCTTTGTCTTTGTAGGTCGGTGCCATATTTCAAGCCCTGCCAGGCAGGGTGTGTTACAGCGACCGTTGAAAGGGAAAGGCGCTGGGGGAGCTGCCCAGGGAGGAGGGAAACAGTCTGAAGATGGTGCAAATGCAAATGGGAATGAGGAGGTGGAGAAGGAGGAGGATGACGACGACGAAGAGGAGGAGAAGAGGACGGCACCCCTTGAGTTAATGGCTGAGGTGAAGTGCAGAAACCAGCTGATGTATGTGGATGCTTGTGATGTTGGAGGGGGAGACACGTAGCCATGGAGACTCATATCGCATAGCCAAAGGGGCCATTAGAAGCTATTAGTTGAGGGGTCACAGCAATAACTTTCTCCCTCGGTCTAAAGAGTTGGTGGTGGGGAAAACATTAAACATTTCCGCTTGCCCTCTGCATTTCTACACCTATGGGAATGACCAAATCACGCAAAAGTTTATCTATGGTTGACAATATACATTCAAATAGCCGTGGTGGGCAGCAGAGGGCATTTTCAACAAAATACATTTGACTGTACTTCTATGCTCCCCGCCTCCACCAGCCTGCACTGACCAGTGTGGTGAAGTATGGTTAAATAACCTCCATAAGCTGCACATTGGGAGGCCCTAATCCTGCAGTGGATTGACAAATGGTTATCCATGTTCATATACATTTCCATCCAATCGACTATTTAAAAGAAGGTGACCCCCCACACTGAGTCTCTTTCGAAAGATAGACCGATAGAAAAAGAGGAAAACACATACCAGGAACTAGGCACCAATTATATTCATATGAAATAAATATGTTCATCATATGGTGCTCATTTACATAGACAGTTTTGAGACGGTGGTGGAAATTCCACATTCCTGTAATAGAGGCCAGTCTCGAACAACCTCCACACCACGTTTGTCATGGGTGTTGTTTCATATTCTTAGGTTTTTTCGGTAAAGTCACGTAGGTAAAAAATTCAAATTAATAAAAGTAAAATAAAATAAATAAAAATCACGACGTTTCGGAGGCAACACAAGCTCCCGTCTTCAGGTGGAACCGTCACAGCACGACAGCTGTATCAAGTGATACAGCTATCGTTTGGTCAAAGGCAAGTGATACGGCTATCGTGCTGTGACGGTTCCACCTAAAGATGGAAGCTTGTGTTGTCTCCGAAACGTCGTGATTTTTATTTTATTTTACTTTTATTAATTTTAATTTTTTACCTACGTGACTTTACCGAAAAAAACCTAAGAATATGAATCCTTGCAGTCACGAAAGCTTCAAATCTAGAATTGGCGTTGTTTGTCCACACTTCACCATGCTGGTCCGTAACGGCTATTTGAAGGTGTATTTAACTCTTGTTACGGGGTTCACCGTTTTTGCCAACACTCCCGCAATTGAAATTTCTAAAAAATTACAATGACACCCATCAGCTCGACACGCAGTAACACTCTAGATTTGAAGTTTTCGTGACTGCAGGGATCCATACTCTTTGGTTCTTTCGGTAATTTAATTTATTTTATACCAACGTGACTTTACCGAAAGAACCAAAGAGTATGCAGTAACTAGATTTGAAGCTTTCGTGACTGCAAGGATTCATATTCTTAGGTTTTTTCGGTAAAGTCACGTAGGTAAAAAATTAAAATTAATAAAAGTATAATAAAAAATAAAATAAAAATCACGACGTTTCGGAGGCAACAGCTGATACAGCTATCGTGCTGTGACGGTTCCACCTGAAGACGGAGGCTTGTGTTGCCTCCGAAACGTCGTGATTTTTATTTTATTTTTATTTTACTTTTATTAATTTAAATTTTTTACCTACGTGACTTTACCGAAAGAACCAAAGAATATGCAGTAACTGTTTGGGAACTCTTAGGGTGTTGGGTAAGTTCATAGCCTGGGATTGGAACCTTGGACTTCAGCGGCTGGCTAACCGACTCTGACATGACCATTGAGCCCACGAGCACACCCAGCCACCTCTAGATCTCGCTGTAGCGGTGTCTGGAGGTGGTGATTTGTCTGACTGTTAACAGTTCCTTGGAGCGATAATGGGTGCCGACTACAAGCTAGCAAGGAAGCTCTGTGAGATGAGTGAGTATGGAAGTTCTTTTTTTACATTCTTCTGTCAGGAGATACACCTACTGTTGGATTATATGAATATACTCCACTCAGCTAGCCAGCGTGGATTGGCGATGGCAATGAGCATAGACGGTGAAGCTCAAGTAAAGTACAACAATAGATGTTGCTGCACTTTGTTCTGTCGCCCACAACGTAGCTCCGTAGAAGTATCTTGCACATGTTAGGAACGGTGGTCGCACATGCAAGCACTCTGTAGGCCTAGCTTTGCTTTGCTTCTGCATTCTGACAAGATCGGACGCAGTCCAGGTAATTTGGTCAAAAGCATAAGTATTAATGGCATTGAAATAATACAGCTATATAGGCCAGATTGACTCAAAACAAGTCAAACAATCTCCTGCTTCTCGATTTAAAGCTTTCGTGACTGCAGGGATTCATCTTCTTGGTTCTTTCGGTAAAGTCACATAGAATGGAAATAATAAAATTAAAAAAATAAAACATAATAAAATACAATTCTCACGACGCAAGCAGCCGTCCTCAGGTGAAGAACAGGTCTGTCGAGAAGACAGAGTCTGAATGACTCTGAATGATGTTTTATTTTTATTATTTTATTATTTCCATTCTACGTGACTTTACCGAAAGAACCAAGAAGATAAATCTCCTGCTTCTCAAGAGAACATCTACGGAATTTTACTGTTCAGGTTTATTTCATAGCCAACAGGCAGAGCAACGGTCAAATGTCATCAGCTTTTCATCATCCACACGTCTGACCTATCCGAATGAGCAGTCAAAACATAGAGTGAATCTCCGCTCATTTGCAGACAACAGCTATATGTTCGCTGTGAGCACAATGGCATAGTTTAAAGTTTTAAAAAACCAGGCGAGAACTCTAGAGACTAGGATGAGTTTCATTTGCAACAGTGACCTGGGTCACCAACGTGCCAAAATCAAAACATAAAAATCAGAAACAAACACAACTGTATCTAAGGTGCTCTATTAATCTTATATATAAACGTCATTTTTTGTCTGTCTTTCTGTCTGTGGATGCACACTTGCGAAGGATTTGGCTCCTTAGGCCGTTTTATAACACTTCCCCCTGTGTGCGTTCACCACTCGCAGTCTTGATTTTCGAGCCGCACAATGCAGAAGCCAAGCAGTACCTGCCTGTTATCGAAGCGAGGATCACTCAAGGTCGGTCATCTCCCCGCCTCCCAGTATGTTCGTCCTATCTGTGTACATATTTATCCGTCTGTCTGCCTTGCAGTCTCTCTCTGCCTCTACTCGTTTTGTAGCCCTCTCCATCTGTCTTCTTTCTTTCGTATGGCTGACATAGATGCAGAGCAACGATGACAATTTCACATTTCGGTGGTCAAGCCAAGATAGCAGCGTCAGGAGCAGCGGAGTGTATCGCTGTAATGTCTCCTTCGTATTTGTGGATCGGGAATTGCATCGTTATGTGTTGTATGGTAATTTTTAGATGATCACAATCGCATACTGGAGAGTTTTTTTAAAATTTTCCATTTGTGCATCAGTTTTCCGAATCTGCCATGGTTTGTACGGATGCGATTTCGGGTGGACCACGAGCTTCGTGGAAGATAAAACTCAGGGACCTTCTGCGTTGGGTCTTTCACAACAAGGTGTTTGTTTGTGAGTTCTTTTGAACTCCATTCAGCTCTCCAGTCTTCACCGGGGTTGAATTTACATTGTTTGAGGTTAAGCGCATGAGTTCAAAAGAGCTTGCCGTGACTTCATGCGACGACGAGGGACATTATTGAGGTCCTGATGATTGGGAAGGCGACTGTTTTCCTCGATTCACAGGACTTCCCTGAGGGTTGCATCATTGCGTCTGTATGTCTACACATCTCACAGATACTTGTGTAAGGGATGTCGAGAGGTGAACCCTGCTGATAAATAAATACACGAATAAATACTCACCGGGACCTAACGACTCGCGAGTTGAATGGCGGTCTCGACTCTCATTGGCGGGGAGCTCTCACGGGGGGCAGAGCCGACCTCATCGTGCACGATCTGATTGGAAGGTGGAGAACCATTGCAATCGGATTGGTCGTCGGGGTAATATGAAGATGCCCGGGAAAAAATCCAAATGGAGATGAGGGGTCGTTCGGGAGACCGTTAGAAAGGATGGCGAAGAGGATCAAAGGAGCGGAGTTAGAAGGGTTTCGGGGCAGCCTGAATTGATGAATTACCTGAAGTGTTACGATGTGCTGTGTGAGAGACGTAATAAGGTCTAGGTTCAAGACTTACACAGGCCCCGAAATCCATTAGACTTCTTAGTTTAACACAAAAGCTTACGCGACAAATATCATCCATAATAGTTTTTTTATGGAATTGTGTTTGCAGAAATAATGTTTTTATTCATGTCGTGTTGTATGTAATGGCTTCAAATCACCCCTCAAATCACCAAAGGTGCTAAATTTCACCAGTATTAAATGTAATATGTTCTCGAATCACACCCCTAAATCATAAAATCACAAGATGTGTGAATTGTCACCCCGCAACCCGCTAATGTGCAGCATTACAGCAAAGGACCTACTGCTGATGAAACTTCATCAGTCAAATGGTCAAGGGGTTGCCTTTGATTACACAAACACCACGACTAAGACACTTTGTCTCAGAATGCCTGTCGGTCAGCAGACAACACGAATTAGACAAGCTGCACATTGTTCTGCATGTATTCATTGTATCGGAATCTGTATCTTTCTGCGTGTATTTTCTGACACTGTGTATGTGTTGTCTGCTTTCGCTAGAGGTCGAGGCATCTCAACACGAAGACAGCAGCGATGAAGATGATGATGAAGAGAGTGATGATGACGACGACGATGATCTCGACGACGACGACGATGATGATGACAGTGAAGAGGATGAAGATGAACCTTTCAGACGCAATGCATTATGCTTAAACCTTCAACAAATTAGCATCAAATAATACATCGTTACAATTGTATTCAAGTCAGCACATTCTCATTTCAAGACAATGTCAATCCATCAAGGGAGACATTGGAGGATTAAGCAGTGGTCCTTTACCAAGTGCAAAGAGACTATTTGAATACCTCGTGCCTTGCCATAGTCGGTTTGTCAGTTAATGCTTTATGGAACAGCAACATTAACATCATCGACCATGGTCATTCCACTGCTGGATGAAGCCCTTCCCAAGTTGCCCCACCACCCTTTTGCAATTCTGTCCTGTAATAATCCACCTCGCATCTATAAACGGACTGATTGTATTTCTCCATCTCCTTGGTTAGTTAGATAAATGTTTTAGAAGGATGATCCGTTGATTATCTACTTGTCAACAATGCTCTCAATGCAACGCGCATTCCCTGATTCATAAAACCCGCATCAACAATAACACGTTTGTGTGGCATTGTTCTGTGGAGCGGTGTTGACTTTTAAAGCGTTTATATTTCACACTATGGCACCCAACGGTGGCTTAAATTTGAATGCAAATCCTGATATGATTACAACATGTGGCTCAACAATTAGTGGCTGGAGTGCTTGTGGCAGGACGAGCCTTTTCATCAGTCGTCGACAGATTTCGTTGGTGATTCTGCGTTGTCCGTGATACAGAAGTACAACTCACAAACAAAAACATTTATCAATAACACAGCCTTAAATAAGATACATTACAATTCCTTATAGGGCAAACAAACACTAACTAATTACTAACGTAGCATAATCACAATAAAACACATTACAACTGATTACTAATCTACAACTCGCATCGTAACAACTGCCTGATTACTAATCTCGTATATAATTACAATAACCCCCCCCCCTCAAATCGTTGCACCTGATGAGTTAATGAGTTAATGAGTTAATGATGACGTCACCCTGCTGCTGCTTTATGTAAGAATGGGAGACAGAGCAGAGCCTCACCATTCTGGCGAATTGCCCGATGATGCTGGATGCAATTATCAGCGAAACGTCGTACTCAAATTGTAAATGTTGTGGTTTCACGCTTCAACACACCGGTGGGCTAAAGCAGTGAACTATTTATCTTTTGTCAAAGTGACACTTTTTTACTGATTGGCCTTGTCGGGTGGTGGAGGGTTACGACACATTTATAAATAACGCGATCTAAACCCAAAAAGTTTGATTATGAACACAGCCTTAAAAAAAATATGGATCAGTCAACGTTTCGTGCAATGGCCTTTCTTTATGGCCGATAGAGAGGTAGAGTGAGAGGCCACCATACCACTGACCCTTCAATGTGCTGTGAAGAATGGTCATTCTTCAAGAAAGGGCATTCTTCACAGCACATAGAGAGGTCAGGGGAGGTGACACAGGCCACTCGAACTCGAGCCTCTGTGTGCCGCTGTGAACAAAGGCTATTGACATCACCGTCGCCTATGACGTGTTCTGATCAATGTGGCCAGTTTTTCAATCGAGCAAATCCCTAGAACGGCAACACAACTTTACACTAAGTGCCCATTCACGTTTACGAATTAACGCACAGACAGCGAATGCGTACATGGAGAAAGCTTTAAAAATGTTCCACTGATTGTATCTGGTTTGAAATTAACAACACCCATTTTGCCTATAAGTAGGTAACGCTAAAACACTCGTAACACCAGATAGCACGAGAACACGTGACAGGTGACAGGTGAGTCGCAAGAAAGCTCTCATCTCCCACCCAAGTCCCGATCCCCTTTATGGGATCGCGCTGTCACCATCCTGGAATCTCACTCGGATCGGGAAGAACGCTGGAAAAGAGTGGAACAACGCGGACGTCCAGAACAAACATCGCATTCGATACCCAAACATCGCGCACCTCCTAGCGTTAAAATTCCTCGTCGAAGACACTGGTGGCATGAACATCATCTGCTTCACAACAACAGGTGGCCGATGCGCACATCTGCATGAATGGAAAACTAAAGACAAGCCACAGTAGTGCAACTGTGGCCATGCAACCCAAACTATGGACAACACAGGAAGCCGCTGTTGTCTACGCTCCTTCAAAGGAGGAGGAATAGCAAAACCACACGAACTCTCTCCTACGATTGTCTCTCTCGTGGACAGCAGCAGACATTGGCATTTAGCTCCTGAAAACATTTCCATCACACGCAAGAATGTTAACGCACCGATTGACTTAAACATTGTGATGCAGATGGACGCAAAGGGCTTTGTAGTTATACTGGCATTTTTAAGGTTCACCAACCAGTTTTTGCTGGCCTTTAAACTTCCATCGGCAATTTTGGTACCAGTCAGAACATGACTGGCATTTCCCCCCTCCCCTCCATTACTATAGGAATGTGGAATATCTCCCACCGGCTCAGAGTGAACAGAGGAGATGTATCTGTATGTGTGTTGAACTTCCTTCGTACCGTACGAAGAAGCCAACCATGCTCATCGAGGATGAGCGCCTCCACTCATTTAGACAGACACCGACATTGTAAAAGGAGATATTTGCAAATTGACAAATACGGTTTTTACAATTGTTTGCATGTAACAAAAGTCTTCCATATGTATCGACGGCAAGATCTATGGAGAGTGATTTGTAGGGCTCAGACTGAAGTTAATGGCCCCTAGAGTAGTAACTTTACAACCTAAAGATGAGTCACTTCAGTTTGTTTTGGTGAAACAAGCAGTGAAGACATACAAAAAGTTCGTAAAAAAGGCAAAGTCTGCGCTATAGGAGTCTGCAATGAATAGGCATCAGCAATCCAGGAGTCAGCATTCAATTCTGTAGCAGGGCGATTACTCGGTATATTAGCTTTTCGTACACGGCCATTTGCCAATCCCATGCCGCACGAGGGCCTCCGTGCCGTGAGAGTGGCGTGGGGTTAACCGACCGTGCTTAACCCACGATGATCAATGCGGTTTTCGTGAAGGCAGGGAGCATAGACGTGCAGTACAGTAATGGATTTTGCCTCGCTTCCCCTCTGCTCCCTACAAAAACCTGGCGTGCATGCCGGTCGCCCAATCCGTGGCCTGGCGGCAGCGTGGTTTTACGGCTGGCATTAAGTGATGCATCCTATGACCAAATCATCGGGAATTGCACTCGATTGCGTCGGCACTCATTAGTTAAGGCAGGGTTGAGCCTGGGTAGAGCTGGAAGGACAACCAGCGTACTCCAGGTGGTGCAGTAGACGCTGTGGGAAATAATGAGCAGCGCAGCAAAGTCGCTTGTGTACCCCCCCCCCCCACCTTTTGTTCATCAACCTGCACTGACCGCCACCGTGATGTTTGGTCAAATAGTGTAGAGTGAGCTGGGCACTGTCAGTACAGACACGTGTTGTTCACCAGTGTAGAGTGAGTTGGGCACTGTTAGTACAGACACGTGTTGTACACCAGTGTAGAGTGAGCTGGGCACTGTTAGGACAGACACGTGTTGTACACCAGTGTAGAGTGAGCTGGGCACTGTCAGTACAGACACGTGTTGTTCACCAGTGTAGAGTGAGTTGGGCACTGTTAGTACAGACACGTGTTGTACACCAGTGTAGAGTGAGCTGGGCACTGTCAGTATAGACACGTGTTGTGCACCAGTGTAGAGTGAGCTGGGCACTGTCAGTATAGACACGTGTTGTACACCAGTGTAGAGTGAGCTGGGCACTGTCAGTATAGACACGTGTTGTACACCAGTGTAGAGTGAGCTGGGCACTCTCAGTATAGACACGTGTTGTACACCAGTGTAGAGTGAGCTGGGCACTGTCAGTATAGACACGTGTTGTACACCAGTGTAGAGTGAGTTGGGCACTGTTAGTACAGACACGTGTTGTACACCAGTGTAGAGTGAGCTGGGCACTGTTCGTACAGACACGTGTTGTACACCAGTGTAGAGTGAGCTGGGCACTGTCAGTACAGACACGTGTTGTTCACCAGTGTAGAGTGAGCTGGGCACTGTCAGTACAGACACGTGTTGTACACCAGTGTAGAGTGAGTTGGGCACTGTTCGTACAGACACGTGTTGTACACCAGTGTAGAGTGAGCTGGGCACTGTCAGTACAGACACGTGTTGTACACCAGTGTAGAGTGAGCTGGGCACTGTCAGTACAGACACGTGTTGTACACCAGTGTAGAGTGAGCAAGGCACTGTCAGTACAGACACGTGTTGTTCACCAGTGTAGAGTGAGCTAGGAACGTACAGACACGTGTTGTTCACCAGTGTAGAGTGAGCTGGGCACTGTTCGTACAGACACGTGTTGTTCACCAGTGTAGAGTGAGCTAGGAACTGTTAGTACATACACGTGTTGTTCACCAGTGTCGAGTGAGCTAGGAACGTACAGACACGTGTTGTTCACCAGTGTAGAGTGAGCTGGGCACTGTTCGTACAGACACGTGTTGTACACCAGCGTAGAGTGAACTGGGCACTGTTAGTACAGACACGTGTTGTTCACCAGTGTAGAGTGAGCTGGGAACGTACAGACATGTGTTGTTCACCAGTGTAGAGTGAGCTGGGCACTGTTCGTAAAGACACGTGTTGTTCACCAGTGTAGAGTGAGCTGGGTACTGTCAGTACAGACACGTGTTGTTCACCAGTGTAGAGTGAGCTGGGAACGAATCGTATAGACACGTGTTGTTCACCAGTGTAGAGTGAGCTGGGCACTGTTCGTATAGACACGTGTTGTTCACCAGTGTAGAGTGAGCTGGGCACTGTCAGTACAGACACGCGTTGTTCACCAGTGTAGAGTGAGCTAGGCACTGTTCGTACAGACACGTGTTGTTCACCAGTGTAGAGTGAGCTGGGCACTGTCAGTATAGACACGTGTTGTACACCAATGTACTCTACGCTATCCGACAGACATGCGAGAGTGCCGGGCCACTTCGTTGCCGATCGTGGACGTCTGCGCTCGGCAGCTCGTGGTGACCACCGGATTGTCCCCGCGCACTCAGACCAGCGAGATTCGGAGCTCGCGGCTTCGCGATCAGCGGTCCATCGTCCTGGAACTCACCGACCCACTTGCTCACCTACTCATCCACCCACTCACCTACTCAGCCAACCACTCACCTACTCAGCCAACCACTCACCTACTCAGTGGTCCATCAGCTTGGAACTCACCTAACCACTCACTCACCTTCTCAGCCACCCACTCAGCGGTCCATCAACCTGGAATTCACCTAACCACTCACTCTCCTACTCAGCCAACCACTCACCTACTCAGCCACCCACTCACCTACTCAGCGGTCCATCAACCTGGAATTCACCTAACCACTCACTCACCTACTCAGCCAACCACTCACCTACTCAGCCACCCACTCACCTACTCAGCGGTCCATCAACCTGGAATTCACCTAACCACTCACTCACCTACTCAGCCACCCACTCACCTACTCAGCGGTCCATCAACCTGGAATTCACCTAACCACTCACTCACCTACTCAGCCAACCACTCACCTACTCAGCCACCC